ATATATATATATATATATATATATATATATATATATATATATATAATGTGGGTGCAGTATTTTGTAAAATATCATACATGTGGGAAATTACAGGAACATATTACAACATTCAACTGGTCCCACATGGTCAAGTTCTGTCCAGTGAGTTGGAGTTAGGGTTAGGGTTGTGGATATATTGGTAACAGTTAGGGTTAGGGTAAGGGTCTGTGTTAGGCTATATAAATTGAATGCAAGTCAATGAAATGTCCCCTTAAGTGATGAAAACACAGTTGTATGTGTGCACTTGTATGGAAAGCAGATTGAGGACAATGTTTTCAATTCCACCATCACAATGAGGATTAGTTGTTGTAAAGTGAGATATTTTGCAGGTCCTCACAAGGTATTTTTTCTAATCGTTAGGTTTTGGGCTAAGGTGTCAATTGGGCTGGGTTAGGGCATAGAAAGGGTTAAAAATGACTGAAAAGCAATGGGAGTCCACATTACAAATAGAGAAACAAACGTGAATGTTTGTTTGTGAATATGACTGTAAAGTATTTATTTCAGTAATTCAGATCACAAGGTGAATCATTTTTAAAGCCCTTATTTCTGTTAATCAGTATGCTTTTCCATGTAGAGCTGAGTGTTCAATCATCATACAAGTGTAATAATTTAATACAAGTGTAATAGTTCACTTTGCACACCCATGCTTTGTGTGATGTCACCACAATCCTTTTGTATTCTGCCACACTCAACTTAACCTCATTCACTCCACTAGTGATTCTAGTGATCTAGTCATTCCAGGATTTTAAATTATCTTCTGGATTTAACAGGAAGCCAATGAATAGAAGCTAGGATAAGATAAATATGTTCTCCCTGTTTAATTTTCTTAAGAACTCTGGCTGCGGCATTTTGGATCAGCTGAAGGTTTTAACAGCAGTTTTTGGACTTTCTAAGAGTAAAGAATTACAATAGTCCAGCCTTGAAGTAACAAATGCATGGACTAGTTTCTCAGCATCACCCCCGGATGAGACTTTTTTTTTTTTTTTTGCAATATTCTTCAGATGGAAGATGAAAATTCTATAAACTTCTATGATTTAAATGACAGGCTCTGATCAGAAATAACACCAAGATTTTGTATTTTTTATTTTATTATCTGAGATCAATTAATGCCTTCCA